TGCTGAAGATTTTAAACAGTAGAATGTTACGACCCTGTAATTTCCTCACAAAACCTATAAAAAATATCCTCTGAAAGCACGAGTTGCAGAAGTGTTTTTCTTATTTAGACCTGAAGTTCTCATTTCTATTAAATTGCTAAAGTTTTAGCAATTTAAATCCCCTTATAGCCTACTGTGAGCGTGTGAAATCCCTAAGCACAATGTTGCATCCAATATTTTAACATTTTAACTAAAAATGCTCCTTTTCTGGTCTAATACAATCAATACTAGAAAGCACCAATAAAACAGAATAGGACAAAAAGAGGACCTAAGTCACAGATGAAATATTTATTTAGTCCAGAAAAGTCCAATTACAAAACACGTTATGTCCACCTAAAAAAATCGACATGGATTCAATTATCTATGCAGACATAATCCACAGTAAAATGACCTTTTCTGAGGACTAGCTAATTTAACAGTCACAAGCAGATTTGAATAGCTGCCAAAAAAATATGTGGGGTATTAACAAACAAACTATGCTGTGTAACCTTCAATTGTATGCACTTTTCATACTTCCTAAGCTTTTGTTCCCCTGATAAAGGTCTATTGACATATGTCAAAAATAAATAAAAAACTTCTGTAAGAATTCACACGATGAAGGTAGAGGAAAGCCTACAACTAACAACTGTTCTCCTCTCTTATGAGCAAGATGAAGCAAAAAATAATCACAGATTCACAGAAATAAATAACAGAGAAGACCTATTTGGTCATCTGTCTGTTCACTGCCAGACCTTGTTTTTCAAGTTCTAAGGTTTGATGTATTTTGGCTATTTTAAAGCAACTTCCAAAAAGCCAACGCGGAAGCATTTCTGTAGGTTTTTTTCAGCTGGCAACTAAATGTCCTGGGAACAGCACCTTGATTTTTGGAAAAGAAAAGTAGAAGTAGCTCGTCATTGACATACATAGCCAAGTTAATGCAAGAATGTGTAAAAAATACCTTTTTGCATAAATGTAGGATACAGTACCACTGTTAAAGTAGCTGATGTTAAACAACCATTTCTTTGCAGCTTCTGCTTTTCCCATGTTTAAAAGAAAAAGCACAGAGAGGACTGTGACGGCTGTGATACTGAAGGCTGTTCCGCTTACACAGATATATAGCATACATCAAAAGACATTTCAAATTTCTCAATAATTACTCCTAGAGAACACGATTTATGAAAAGCTAACCCAATTGCTCTTTAGCGTCAAATGGAAAAAGGTATGCCAGTGAGGCCTATTTTTTAAAGTCCCAGTAAGATGTATGGTACTAAAAACACAGAAGGTTATTTGCATTCAGAAGTATCACCTAACCAGCTATGTAACAGTTATACTGCAAATTTTTTTTTCATTCATTGCTCTTAAACAAAGTGCAGTCCTATGTAAATAAGCAGAGACACAATGACAGCTATTTTTCCTGTTCTTATTTACACTAAAAGCAATAAAGCACGAAACCATTTCTACATAATAAAAGTTATAATTTTTTTTTTTTTAATATCAAAATAAAACATCATGTTTTGGGTACAGATACCTCAAGCAGTAGAGCAACACAGGAAATAAAGAGCATGCTAAGTAGATCTGCATCTTAACTCTGGTGCAGTACACTCACCATAAAGCATCACCACATCCATTTCTAATTCATTCAACATCATTTCAGAGATCTTAATGAAAAACTGGATGTATTGAAAAACAGAGCTTTCATTACTGACATTCAATATTTAAGTAAATTTCTACCCTTAGTTATTAAAAATTCAACTGAACAAACACCTGAGCAACCCAATCTAACCAGATCTGCATTGAGCAAGGGCTAGATTAAATGATCTCCAGAGGTTCACTCCAAGCTAAATTATTCAATGATTCTAAGCCAATACATCTCCCTCTAATAGTACGGTCTTTTCTCCTTCTGCATACTACTATATTAAGAAAACTCTCCCCAGACAATAAAAAGTGGCAAAAAGCAATCACTTATACAAGGAAGAGACCAAATCTATGCTTAACCCAAAGGACATTGGAGAAGTATTTTTTCTTACTCTTCATGTCTAAAAAACTCCAAATAAAGCAGAAAGCTTCTATATGCTGTATACTACATTAAGAGAGAGGCAGGCTACTTCAGCTGTGTTGTTGAGCACTCATAATGGTTCACATTTTCAGCTCTCTCTTTTGGTCCAATAGGACTCCATTCAGCAATGACAGTGACGGAGAAAACGATCTTCCAAAAAGATCACAGAGTATAAAATACTTGCAACAAGGAAAGTCCATACTCCAAGCGGTGTAATTTGGTACCTGCTTTGTTCATAAAGAAACTTAACAATTTTGCCCTTACTATAAAATAAAAATGTTTTATAAAAGCTACAAATATGTTCTCATTTCTTAGAAACAACACCAGCTCTGTAAATTATGTTTCATGTAATTTAGAAAGCTTTTGTTATGCTGAAGGGATACTTTCATGGGGATTTTTCCAGTCAAAGCCAAATGCACATATGAGGCATCTGAAAGAAAATCTGTAGCTAGAACATTCTAATAATCCAATTATTTTATCTGTATGAAAGAATGCACTTTTGCTTTCAAGTTTATGCTACCTGAGATGATTAAGCAGAGGCTGTAGTCTCTCATCAGACTGTATGGAAGGCAATGATCGTGCTGTCAGCTAGAAGAAAAGAGAAGTTCAATTAGCAAAACATTAGCTTAAAAAAAATGGAATGATGTAAGAAACTGCCCTGTGTTGATAAAACTTTACACAACACTGAATTAAACACACTTTCTCCTGTTAAAAGTAACTAACCACAACCTTCCAGAATCTGAATTTAGTGGAAATATTTACAAGTTGAAGTCAAACAGTGAAAAATTTTTTTTCTATGGTTACAGTGTTTTTTGAAAGAAATAGACAACATTGAAAGTAGTATACTTCCTTCCAAACATATTTGAACTAGAAGTCATATTCTACCTAGCCCACCTTCTAGTAATCACATAACATAAGCACAGTCTATTAAGCCATGTTATATACATTTCTATGGAAAAACTTACATAACATTTAACACTATATGACTTCTTAATATATATATATATCCTCCTGTAGATCCTTTTTTTTAAATGAGAATAACTTGTATTTTGTAATTTGACTGTTCTAAACTAAATGTATACTTTTTTCTTGTAACTTCTAATATGACCACCTGAAACATTGAACTTTTTCTGAAAAAAAGAACCAACCTAGTTGTCTATAAATCAATAAGAACGTGTCACACTATTGCAGAATACTAGTTAACTGCTGTACTAAAATAATTGGGAAAATATATGTATTAAATTTTCTTTATTATCAGTAAATAGGTGTCTATCTTCACCAATAAATGTTACAGGCATAGCAGTTCTAACATTGCTGACATACATCCAATATAAAATATTTAACAACACGTACGTCATTCGTCTGTTGCTGCTATTTTAGGCTGTATTTTGAAAACTACTTTTGTACAAATTTAAAATTCCGACATATTTCACATTGTGTCAATCACCATCAAATTCATCCGTATTTTCCAGTTAACTTAAAATAGCATGCACAGTTAGACATACTATTTAAAAATCCTATTACAAAACCAAAGAAAAACCTTTTAACACCAACAGTGTAGCTTCACCCTTGCTGGCTCCAACACACCAGTAAAGGCAAACATTGAAGTAGGACTAACTAGGAGGCTGCCACTTCTGCTTGTAACCCACAAATAAAGAAAGACACTCCAGAAATAGCTGTGCTCAGTGTTTGGGTACTGGGGGTCCATCTGTAACTGTACGAAACGCCATGCCAAACTCCACTGGCTCATCGGTAGAGCGAGTGAATGTGGAGGAGTTGAGTATTTTCCCAAAAGTTCAGCCATTCGTAACTTTTGCTCCTAGGCAGACTGGGGCCAAATTTTAAACTTGAGCTGCAAGGTAGCAATATCAACCAGCAGCTAAATGAGAGGAGGTTCAAAACAGCTAGCCTGAAAATTGGAGGTACTGAACACAAGGACAGCAGGGAAGGAGGAATGGGCCATTGCAGCTCTTAAGCCAGTCCTGGCCTGCTGCAATCACCACTTCAAAATGCAGCTCTTCTCAGTCCTGGGTGCCCAAATACTCATCCCATCTGACTGCTGCTGCAGAAAAGGCAAGCCAGGCAGCCTCAGCAATCCATTCATCGTCCTTTAAAAATAAAAGGCTAGTATTTTGGCAGTTAAGCCATTATCTACAGTCCCTTATTTTATGAAGCTAGATCAAGATGCATATGGTATGCTAAAAATTCAGTAAGCTCTACATGTATTCAGAAGTTTCTTTTTATATAAATCTCCTTTTCTTACCACTGAGTATTTAAGGCCAATACACATATTGTTCTATATTCATGTCCTCCATAAAGTAACCCTCTAATTTGGTTTTAAACAGAATCAGAAATCCAGAAATTATTTCTGAACAGAACTTGGAAGCCTTCTAAATACCAGCCAAGTTATACCACCTGGCTAAAATCAGAACAGAGACTGAACTACCTGAAATACCATCTGCTTCTCTTTCTATTAATAACTTAACTGATACAGAAAACAGTGTTTCTGTGCACACGCACATACATATGTATGTTGTTACAAGAGACAACCATACAGTATTTTTCTCTATACAGTACTTTAAATACTACATTTAATCAGAAAAAAAAGCCAAATTTTTTCCTCGTTATAAATAAAGCATTTCCAATAAGACAATGTTTATGGAAGTGGACATTTTATTAGGACAGTTGTATTAAAAAAAAAGAGGAAAAAACAAAACAATAAAACTCAAAACCTACAAAAGTATTGACGTTATTGCCAAAGTTATATACCCAATCTACCACGTTGTTACATAAACATTAAAAATGAACAGAAATACTATTTCAAAATTAATTTGAGGGACTTGTAGGAAATGAGATAGAACCAAGAACTTGTAATTTTGGTGTTAAACCAATTTTTTTCTGAATACTGAAAGAAAGAATAAGGAAGAAGTGGCCTATGCTGTCTGTTTTGTGAACCATGACTGTAAGGGGAAAAAAAAAATAAAACAAAACAAACATAATTCCTTGAAGTCACAGGAGAATCCATGTGGCCAATGTTTTCCCCAATGTTTTTTTTTTCTTACTGTCTTGTATTTCACCAACAATTATGGAATCTGCAAATCTTAGGAGCAAAATGAATCCCTATTTTTCTCCAGTATGTTGCCTACAGAATATGCTCCTGTGAAAATAAGATCATACACCTTTCAACTCTTACAACAAATATTTTGTGAGGGTTGTTTAAATGTTTCTTTTGGGAATACGTGCGATCTTCATGTCACTGTTCTTTGCTATCTCAAACTAAGGACAGTTTTCTTTAAACACTGTTGAGAAGATAACACAGCTAAGGAGAACCCATCAAAATTTTTTGAACAATCTTAACTTAGATTATAAAAATAAAAGGTAAAATTTTAATGTATAAAGCCTTTCTTCACAACTGCATTTTTCTGAGCCACACTGTAAATACTATTAGCTTTTTACAAAGGTGGTGATAAAGTAATGACAGTGTTTTCAAACTGCTAAGAATTTTACATCCTTTATTAACATTATTGATCTAAAAGAAAAAGATAATCCAAATTACAGAATCCAAACTGAGATTCAGAAGATTTTTTTCCAATCACTCTGAAATGAAATTTAGAAAAATTCCTGAAAGAACAGCCTTGTCTTCATCTCTATATGGCTCTCAAGATAAAGATCATCCTACCAAAACAAAAAAAAAACCCACACACCCAAACCAACCAACAACTACATTCAATATTTTATAAACATGAAGAACATCACAGTGTTGTGAATTAAGGAGCATAGTTGCATAGTTCCAAATTCTAATCACGCTGAAGCAGTTTAATTTACAGAGAACATAAACCACTGCAAACTTAAGATATTTCCAGTCCCAAGGCTTGATCAGAGGAGTGGGCGGAGCGAGCCACAGACAGAACATGTGGACACCTTAGGGTTGAGCTGATATGGTGAAAGCTGGGATGCAGATCCTTAAGGCAATTTGAGTACCATATATCAATATCACACAACATTTAAAAATAAGAAAGGAGGAAGAATACTTAATATGTGGAAAAGGGATTAATAGCCTGAAATCTGCAGTGACAACGATGGTCCAACTTCATACTAGCTTTAATACCAGAGTCACCAGCACCAGAATGAAAATTCAAACTAGAATCTCCATATATTTGGAAATAATCAGAATTCCCAAAAGAACACTAACATTTTGACAAAACTTAAGTAATATTTTTATGCAATTTTGTAGAAGAGCAAAAAGCGGAGTTCTTTTCTACTGAGCTCGAGTTCTTTTCAGCTGAGCTCTACATAAAAGTCACATCTCTAGTGTTCACCAGGCTGCACTTGTGGCTAATAAAGCAGGAACTTCTCGTATGGCATGAAGAAGGTAACAATTTAAGAATGTAGATGGCACGCAGTGATTGGAAAACTACATGAACTTTAGAGTTAAGATTTGGCAAAGGTATGTTAAGTAATAATGAAGGTAAAAGGATGATAATTTACAGATATATGTCTAAGAACTGGCCTGTTTTAATTCCCCCAACATGAGACTAGCACTTGAAATTGCAAGTTATCATACATTTACTATAACGCTTAAAAAAAGTTAAGCTGATACAAAGCCTGAAGTAGCAACTCCACATGCTATCAGGAAGGCAATGACATTTTTATATATGACAATTAAGAATAAGATTGTCATGGCTCAATTAACTTGACTCATTTTTTAGGAGTGAGTGAATTTTTTGATTTTGAGGTTATCACATGAGTTATTTGGTTTCCAAGTGTTTTTCTGCACAAAAATAAAATTTCACAAAGAGTTTACATTCTAAATGAGATGTCCTAACTAGCTGCATTGCACAAGAAAATATTAATATGCTGTCATACCATTTGATGAATACACTTTCTTCTTTTTAAACCACATTAAGTTGGATGTCATGGAGAAAAATGACACAGAAAGCTTAGGAACAAAGTATAGAAAAAAGCGTTTTGTGGCAAAGGCTACTTTTAGCTGAGGCAGACTACTGAATTACTCTGAATTACTCCAGGCTTTTTCTGAAATTTACTGTGGGAAAAGAAATAAGTTCTTTAGAAGGGTGCATTAGAGAACCTAAAATGTAAAATATTACGAAGGCTATTTCCTTATCAACTCCTAAGCACTCCTAGAACAAGGAGTGTTGAAGGCATGCTGTCCACACACACATCCACAGCCTGTGATTTGCCTCTACACAATTTATCAAGCCCAACTAGAATTACCTGTGCTGGCAATTATGCTATTTCTTTCATATTTTGACAAACACTGTACAAGCAGCTTAGTGTTCTTTTGCCTTCTCAGTTCTTTTAAAACCCAGACAGGCAGGATTACATTATATGGGACTTGTATTTAAAAGGGAGTGGCTGCACTGTGAATACGTCTAGGGACAGAGTATCTCAAAGAATGCTCAGTCCCTGGAAAGCCACCTTGCATTTTTTCCCCTAGAAATTCTTCCTTTGGAACGCCACAATTATGTTTTAACAAGAAAATCTACTTGAAGGAGGCTTGGAGAGACTTTGAACAGAGGACTGCTCTAACGAGTGCTGGAAGCACCTCCAAAACACAACGTATTTTT